TTCCCAGGTTGGCGTACGTCCATGCGACATCGACATGGTCAGGTCCGAGTTTTTTTAGACGAATGGCCAGTGCGCGATCATAAAACTCTTTTGCCTGACTCAGTTCACCCAGGTTGCTGTGCACATTTCCCAGGTTGGCGTACGTCTTTGCGACATCGACATGGTGAGGTCCAAGTTGTTTTAGACGAATGGCTAGTGCGCGATCATAAAACTCTTTTGCCTGACTCAGTTCACCCAGGTTCCTGTGCACATTTCCCAGGTTTTCGTACGTGCTTGCGACATCGACATGGTCAGGTCCGAGTTTTTTTAGACAAATCGCCAGTGCGCGATGATGAAACTCTTTTGCCTGACTCAGTTCACCAAGGTTGCTGTGCACACATCCAAGGTTGTTGTACGTGTTTGCAAGATCAACATGGTCCGGTCCGCGTTTTTTCAGACGAATGGCTAGTGCGCGATCATAAAACTCTTTTGCCTGACTCAGTTCAACCAGATTGTAGTGCACACTTCCCATGTTGGCGTACGTCTTTGCGACATCGACATGGTCAGGTCCAAGTTTTTTTAGACGAATGGCCAGTGCGCGATCATAAAACTCTTTTGCCTGACTCAGTTCACCCAGATTGCAATGCACATTTCCCAGGTTTTCGTACGTGCTTGCGACATCGACATGGTCAGGTCCGAGTTTTTTTAGACGAATGGCCAGTGCGCGATCATAAAACTCTTTTGCCTCACCCAGTTTACCCAGGTTCCTGTGTATAATTCCCAGGCTGTTGTACCTCTTCGCGACATCAACATGCTCAGGTCCGAGGGTTTTTACCTGGATGCGAGACGACAGCTCGTAATATTCTTTTGCCTCGGCGAACTTGAAATACTTATAGCAAGTTTCCGCAAGTTTGTTGAAGTACAACGTACTAGACGTATGGAAGATATCGTTTTCCGCAACTTCAGATACATTTTCCTTGGAATAGGTCTGTCTAATTGCTTTTACTAACGTTCGTAAATGAGGAACGGTACGCGTTCCTTTAACAACTGAATTCAAGTCATTTGGATCATTTAGTTTATAATCTTCCACAAACTGGAACAGTGCTTTAACGATCGCTTTCAAGACTATTACTTCACGTTCCTGAGTATTTCTCCCAACAACATTGCTGACGGCATCGTGCGTAACCTGATGTACTCTAATATACACACCACTCTCATTTTCGTCGAACAGCAACAGAGGGCATCTTCGAATCTTCATCCTAATGTCATCTTCATCTTGCATATCTACCTCTACGTTTCGAATGTAATTCACTGCTATCTCAAGACTCAATGGCTGTGCT